TTAGTCTTCAGGGCTGAAAACGCATCTGTATTTTGATTTTCAATCGATGATAAATGTAGATGTCTTTGGGCATTCACTTACCATCAGGTGGAATGTGTGCTCGTTTGTCACAATTATTCCATAAAAAGAGAGACTGTATGTGTAGGACATATGGATGTGAAGGAAGCGAAAGAATTCCGTAGTCTCTGCCTACACCTCTGGGTGACAGGCGTGATATTTTGTGTTATGTTTTACCTTTGGATTTCACTTTGAATAATATTTATTTTAACGAATTTGATTGCGTCTAATTTAACTTATTATAAAAGCCCGACGTTTGAAAGCCTTGCCGCACCCATGGTTACGGCTCGCACGAAAAGTTTTATGTTCAGATATAATAATTAATCCGGGTTAATTAAAAGCTAAATGTAACTCTTGTAATTAATATTGAAAAGGAAATTTGAAAAATATAATATGTACAATTTTTTTGTGTTTAATTTTATGTGACATTTGTAAAATAAACTCTTTAAAATTGCTAACAAAGTGCAATCTTGAAGCATTATTTAGGGTGTCAACAGAAGTAGGCAACAACGAGGATTCAAATCTGAAAAAGTATAGATTAAAGAAAAATTATCACGATTACGGTGTTTTTATTCACGTTGGAATTATTTTATGCTTGGTAGGAATCGTTATCCCTTTGCGAGGATTTTGTGGTCTGCCGAATCTAATATAATAGCGAGAATAGGTCTCTCCAATCCAAAAAAGTTCCTAGACCACAGACATCCCAAAACAAAGACATTTTGCATCAGCGATATATTCTTACCGCATCGAGTTTTATCTGTGGCAGCACTGTCGTTGCGCTACAAGCGAAACAAGTCGGAGCCTAAATCGCGCTATCAAAGTTCCGAAGTAAAGCAGTATATATAGAATAGCTCCGAACAACCACTCGGAGCGTTCGGCCGATCCGGCCGCTTCTTAGGCTGAACACCTTGCCTGGCGTGAGATCTCCCCTTTTCCTTTCTTGACAAATGATAAGAATGCATGCAAGCTTTCATTGATTTTCTTGATTTAATTTGATATAATATTATATTTTATAAGTATACTTGTGAGTTTTATGCCGCTTCTTTTCAGTCTCCCGCAGAAGGAACTTGTTGAAGCGATGGATTAGTTTTTTAAATAAAATATTTTTATTTGGACTTTAAATCCGTTCGAAAATATATTTTATCGCACAGAAAATCCCCAATCAACCTTCCTATAGCTTGCTGAGGACTTCGAACTCTTTAGACAATAACACTTAAATAGTTAGATTATTTTTTACGGTCTCAATATGAATTTTGAAAATCTCACACATATTCGAAATAGCAAAACCTCTATGAGCAAGCAGGATGAATGGAGGCGGGCTAAAGGTTACAAAGTTATCCCGGCTAATGGCTCACGTCCTGGAGCACGTAACGAACTGTTCAGCTCGGCTTTCCCTGGTAGCGACGCAGAATATCAATTCATTTTAACGCTGTTTGAATTTTGAATAGAGTTGGGGACTTTAAAACAATTTCCGTTTTAACTTTCTCTGTGTAATCAAAGGGATTGATTTCTGCCGAATTTTACCTTTTTTCGTCTTATTTATTTATAACTAACGATCCGTCCCGGCTACGCCTGGGTCTATTATTGTGACGTTATTTAAATTTTAGATAATCATCATAGTACATTTATTTTGTCAATTCTTCATAAAAGAATATACTAGATTTTCGGATAAAATATTGACTAGACCACTCCTGGCATTGCTATCTATCTGTTGGTTAAGTTTCATTACAATCGGTTCAGCCGTTCCTAAGATTATCACATTCAGACAGATAGACAGAAAGAGAGATAGAGACAAACAATTTTTTTTAAAATGGTGCTTATTCATGGTTTTAATAACACCCTCAGCTAAATAAAATGCAGTTATATTCTATGATCATATTATTTTATAAATATTTTTTATGATTATATGATATGATTATATTACGAGTTATTATAATTTAAAATTAAAAAATTTGTACAACCGACTTCAATATAAATGATTAAGAATAGCTCAAAAACTATTGGCCAAACCTTGATCAAATTTATATGGGACCACATGTGAAGCACCAGCTTTCAAATAAAAAAAAAGAATCATCGAAATCGGTTCACCTAGAAAAAATGAGGTAACACATAAAAAACATACAGTCGAATTGAGTACCGTCTCCTTTTTGAAGTCGGTAGAAAACAAAGACTGTTACAAGATGTGCCTTAGTATTACTTAGCTATTAGTGTTTCTATCGATTGGTCTCTTATAAATATCTCAATTACTTTGTTATTTAATTATAAACTAATTATTCAAATTAACGTTTCAACTCACCTCTGAAACTGTTTCAACTTACCTCGGTACTAGGAGAGTTGAAACACGGGGAGTTGATGTGTTTTTTCAGAAATATCTTTTAAAAAAGCATATTTAATATGTGCTATGTGCATAAATTAAATAGTGTACAAATCTAGGTATCTAATCATACAAGTTTCACTTATATAGAATTATATAGTACTGAGTTATGCATTGTAATGTAATTTTTGTGTCAACCCACCTAGGTCTCCCCTACATGATCGTAATTTGTTATTAAAAAGAAAAGTCCCGCTGCGTTTCTTGCTGGTTCTTCCCAGGACAGAGGTTATTTTTTCGTACCAGTGGTAATTAAACAAAAGAGTGGCATTCGATAAGTATTATTCATAATCTATATTGAATAAAAAGTTTCTGTTTCTGCTGCTGTACACTTACGACGTCCATGATATGGATATATGACATGGGCTAATGGATTCTCTTGTACAAAAATATAGAAGTAAGATTAGTTTTATTGCTACATAGCAATTACTTCATAACAACACAAACCAGATAAAAGGGGGAGAAAGATAGAGGTAAAGAGCAAGCTAGTTAAGCGTTATCAAATTATGCACAAGAATAATTTAAAATTTAAAATGTTCTCCTACCGACTTCAATATAAATTATTAAGAATAACTCAAAAACTATTGGCCAGAACTTGATCAAATTTATATGGGACCGCATGTGAAGCACCAGCTTTCATATAAAAAAATCATCGAAATCGGTTCACCCAGTAAAAAGTTATGAGAAAACACATAAAATAAACATTCAGTCGAATTTAGTACCTCCTCTTTTTTGAAGTCGGTAGAAAAGACAACAGACTTTTAGCAATAGATCAGTGACCATAAATCAAGGGAGAATTTAGAAAGACAAATTATGTATCCTTTAAATCTATGAATTGGCCATGCTTATTATAAACGCCAGAGTTATATTATGGATATGGAGTTCCGAAGATGGCAGCCTTCCAGCTCTTTAGTTTCAGTTATTAGGAAGACGCTGCTGTTCATCTCCTGGTTTGTTTTCCTCTGTCGCTTCTTACGATACCCACGGGATGATATGAGGTGTGCTACACGATAAGTTGAACGCTGATAGCTAAATATGTCACTTCTTTATAGCTAATTACGTTCCTTCATTGATTTTTATGTATACATAAGCATAGTTTGCTTATGTATACTCTGAAAATTCTGTATGTGTAAAAAAATGTAAGGTTGACTTTCTTTGACATAATACGACTATATGTAGATAATGATTTCTTATATTTACGCGAATACTACACATTGAATAAAACTACTTTTACGGATTCTATCGCGTTAATTAAATTGTTTTTTGGAACGAAGTTCTTTATCGGACGGTACGGATTTGGTGGATGGGAGCTAGGCGACAAAAAATGTAAGTATTTTCGTCACTACCCCTTGTGTCATAGTGTAGACGGCCTTGACGGTGAAATAAGGAAGTGAGATGGAATAATATCCATCTCCATCGCACTTTTTCTTGTCTTACCATGAAAGAAATATTATTTTATTTCAAATGACGTTTCATTTTAATAGATGCTAATAATTCATTTATTTATATTTGTTAATCAATATTATAATACCTACGTTCATCAATAATAATATACTACGCAAGGAACTTCGTTCCAATCGAGTGTTCCACGATACTCACGCATTTTCTTTTATTGCGTCCCGACGTTTCGGGTACTTTACTGTGCGTAGATCGGACCAAAATTAATAATTGAAAAAGCTGAAGGTACTCCGGGTTAACTCTGACATCGGAACGTCAATCACCTCATTCCCCCGATACCATGGGTGCTGTAAAGCACCCGTAACGTCGAGAATTAATAAATAACAATTTAATTAAACGCGATAGAATCCGTAAAAGTAGTTTAATTCAACGACTATATGTAACAAAAACTAAATTTTAAAACAAAACTACAATCAAAATGATACCAAAAAGATACCATAACTCGCCTCTAGCATAATAAATCATAATTCTACTAACGGCCGTTGATAAAAGCGGGCTACAAAGGAACATTAACCGCCACCCCAGCGCCATCTGGTAGCAGTAACACGGAATATATTATCAACAGATCACGCACGTTGACAGTTTTATGCGGCGGGTCGGCGCACGCGCACCATTGTATCGAACATAAGTACAACACTGCTTGATTGGTTGTGTAATTTCATTCACAATTTGTTATGTTATAACAAACTGTTGTAATGAAAACTTTCGATGGTTGCGAGAGCTTTGTTTTAGTTAATCATTATACTACTGTTGCGCTTGAAATTATAAATACCGTTACCACTACAGCCTATTAAAGTCCATTGCTTAACATAGGCCTTCCATCATAGATGCCTCATATGGGTGATATTTGCCATAATTGCCACGCTTGGCAGGTGGGTTGGCAACCGCTGGGTGCCGGTGGGTTTTTTGTATTTAGTTGTAATTAGGAAGACGCTGCTGTCCATCTCCTGTTTTGTCTCCCTCTCTCGCCTCTTTCAACACCCACGGAACAATATGGGGTACCTAGTGCATATTCTTACACCATTTAGCCGATTATCGCTTTTCTATTTCTAAATTAGACGTTTAATTTTCAGAATGCAACTGCAACGGTCACGCGCGTCGGTGCCGCTTCAACATGGAGCTGTACAAGCTGTCTGGAAGAGCTAGCGGTGGCGTGTGCCTCAAGTGTCGGCACTACACCGCGGGCCGGCACTGCCACTACTGCAGGGAGGGTTACTACAGGGACCCCACTAAGCCCATCACTCATAAGAAGGCTTGTAAACGTGAGTATTTATATATACCTTCACCTTCACCATCAGCTTATAAATACTATAAGAAACGAGCACACAAGCTGTAAGTGGTTGCTGTGGCCTCTAGCTATATCTATCCTCGATAAAGAATCTAAACGCAGAAGCGTTGTCGTCTTGAAGCTTTAGATTGAATGTTTTGTTAACACTTACCAGAATGAATGATTTTCGGTTCTCTACACTCACCATACAAAACACAACTGCATTATGGTTTTCTCTTTCATGCTGGTTTCATTCTTTAAGAGCGTATTGCTTCACCGGTCGAGTCGTTTTTTAATTATATCCCGGGTCGGACCAAAATCAGTTATTGGATTTTTACCAAGAAATCCTCAGTAGCAGTCGAAATCAAGTTAACGATTTAAAACTCGTAAACCTATTGGTTCTGCACCTGATCTCACTACGGTCGAGTCGAAATGCCGTCCCTGCAAAATAAGAGAGTGACGAAATAGGGAGTGCAAATTATGCTCGCACACACACTCATGCACTATAATCCTGTCCTGAGCAAATGATTAGTCGCCGTTGAGACTGACCTCCGTGACAGAAATTCAGTCTAGAAGTTTTTTTTTTTTATAGGAGAGGGGGCAAACGAGCATGTGGCTCACCTGATTGTAAGCGACTACAGGTAGGAATTGCAGATGCGTTGCCGGTCTTTTAAAAAGGACTAGGCTCTTTTCTTGAAGGTCCCTAAGTCGTATCGGTCCGGAAAAATCGCTGGTGGTAATCGATTCCGCAGGGAAGTTGTGCGAGGAAGAAAACATCTTCTAAATCGCACAGTGGTGGACCGCCAATCATCCAGATGGTATGAATGGTACGCGAGTTTTGTCACGATGTGCGATGGTGAAATTGAGCGGCTGGAAGTAGTCCGAACAATTCCTCAGAGCACTTCCCGTGGTACACGCGATAAAATACGCAAAGAGATGCAACATCTCTACGCAGTGCCGTAGAAAGTATATAGTACAAAATAATGTTTCTCTAATGTTTAATGTACCCGAAATAGTTGTATTAAAACTATTAACGGACAACTCACAAATAAAGGTAAAAATAATGCGCGTAACTTTTTTATGGTGAAAGCAAGTTCAGCTTGCTGCCGCGCACAGATAAAATAAATAAAAGACGCCTCATAAAAAATGTTATACACCTGTACATTGTGTTAAAGTAAACAGTGTATACGTGCCTTTATTTAAATGAAACTGTTATATATCAGTTGAACTTTTTACTGTTGTTCAGGGTTGAATAAGTATGCTATATCTACATTCTTTATCATGTTACGCATTTAATTTATTTACGGAGAAATCTTGTTTTATTAATTAAATTAAAAATAATTAATATTGATTTTTTTATAGAATAATGGTGACAACGTGCAGACAGTCTACCTGATGGTATGTTAATGCTGTAGCCCATAGACGTCTACATCTATACTCTGATAAAATTCAAAGTACAAATGCGTTCCAACCCTGAGGATTAAGATCGAATGCCTCGTTTCCAGTAAAAAAGGTCTCCGATTCTCTACACTCGCCATACGAAACAGGAGAATTAAGCTGCAACTTGACGCTGGTATTTTGTGAGAGTCTGTTCTTCCCCCGGTCGAGCCGACACATTCGTGCTATGACTATTTTTTTATAGAATAAGGATGACAAACGAGCACACAGTTCACCTGATGGTAAGTGGTTCTGTGGCTCATAGACATCTATCTTCTTTTTTTATAGGATAAGGTTGACAAACGAGCACACAGTCCACCTGATGGTAAGTGGTTACTGCGGCCCATAGACATCTACATCTATCCTCTATTACAAATCAAAATGCAGATGCGTTGTCACCCGTGAGGACTAAGATGGAATGCCTCTTTTCCAGTAAAAAGGGCCTCCGGCCACCTGCACTCACCAAACAAAACGCAGAGGTAAACCTCTACTTCACGCTGGTATTCTGTGAGGTCGTGGTACCACCCCGGTTCGAGCCGGCCCATCCGTGCGACAGCAAAAACTGCCGCGTGGCTCTACCACTGTAAAAATAATATTGTAAATAAATCTTCGTTTGCGAATTAAAATGTAGATGTGTTGTAAGCCGTGAGGACTAAAATAGAATGTTTTAATATAATAGCTGCAGCATGGCTCTATCACGTATAAAACTAATGACTCGTAATTGTAACTGTTATTTTATTATTTACTTTTTATTTAATAAAATACCACCTAGTGAAACTATTGACATTAATAATAATAATGTACTTCAGACCGAATTTCGGTCACGGCGATCAGTCTCGACGAAGAGTAGACATAGGCGCAGGACAGGAATATAGTGCCCAAGTGTGTGCGAAAGCACAGGTGCACTCTCTTAGTCCGATGGTACCGTAAACCGACACAACCGGAGAGAGATCTTTTTTCTTTGTTTTCTGCCGACTTCCAAAAAGGAGACGGTACTCAATTCGACTGTATGTTTTTTTATGTGTGTTACCTCATAACTTGTTACTGGGTGAACCGATATGGATGATCCTTTTTATATTTGAAAGCTGTTACTTATCGTGTGGTCCCATATAAATTTGATCAAGGTCAGACCAATAGTTTTTGAGTTATTCTTAATAACTCATATTGAAGTTGGCTGTACAAAATTATTAGTTCTATTAATCGAAGTAATCACTTATGCAATCGATGCATCTTCGCCAACAGTGGCAGTTTATTAATTTCCATCTTGAATAAATCAGCAGGAGGATGGACAGGAGGCAACAAATTCTTCAAAGGCATTGTGTACTGCCTCTCGGGTATTGAATTTTTTTCCCGCCAAAAAGTTATAGAAATTCTGAAAAAAGTAGAAGTATGTAGGCGCAAGATCTGGTGAGTACGGCGGATAACCGAGAGCTCCCAACCCCAGGTCTAGTAACTCGGAGACCGGCTGTTGTGCAGTATTGGATCGCGCGTTGTCGTGCAGGAGCAGCGGGGACGAGCGATTGACCTAAGTTGGTTGGAGACGTGAAATTTCTCCATCATTGTGTTCTGTTCTTCATAGTACACATCTGCAGTAATGTTCATCCCTTTTGGTAAGAAGCTGTGATGAATCACACCGGCGCAAGATCACCAAACAATGACCATTACTTTTCTAGGAGTAAGTTTTCATTTAGGGCATTGCTGAATCAGGATCCAACCAAGTTGCTGAGTGCTTCCGATTGTCAAACAGAATCCATTGTACGTCATAGGTAACAATACGGTTCAAAATTCCTTCGTTCGTATGCCTGTTGAGCAGTGTAAGGCTGGATTTAGTGCTCGACCGACCGTGAGCGCTGACAACGTAGCGATATCAATGAAAACCTACCGGCTACAGTGCAGCGCTGATGAAGTACTATGCGCGTACGGCTACGTCGCGCGTACGGGGACCGTCGGTCGAGCTCGTCTGTCCGATGTACGTCGGTTGACTGACGCGCTATGGCGGTACATGCGTGCGTTACCTTTCCAATTTGACGCAAATTCACCAATATTATTTTGATGCAAACGTCGAAAGCTGCTGCTAATTCAGCCATAGATTGGTATCATCGGCTTCCACAATCGCCTTTAATTCGGCATTGTCGACCAACGTTTTCGGAAGACAGCGGGGTTCATTTTTCAGGTCGAAATTTCCAGAACGCGGCAAACAAATAACTGGTGGTGCGTTCTATTGTAGTATTCGCTCCGTAAACGTCGTTGATATTGCGTGCCGCTTGTGCCACGTTGCTGCTACGACGGTACTCATATCATATATTTATTCGATTTTTTTACGTATAAGAAAGTAAAAGTAAAAGATTCAAATACGAAGAAAATATCAATAAACAAATGATTCATTTTGAAAAAAGAATTCCATGTTTTTAAAATGAAATTAATTTGAAATTAGAATTCTTAGCCAAACAAAAATTATTTTGATTTGAAATGTCAAGTACTTCAGAATTTTCATAGCTAAAGATCTATTATTAAGATCTTTGATATCATTTCTGAACGAATGATACATACAACAATGAGGCATCCACGATATTTTCTGCCACCAGAGCGGCGCCACTAGAAAGTGAGGTTATAATATTTGACAGATTTCATAGCGGGGAAGTTAATTTGTTCGGAAAATGTAAAAGTTATTGTTTCTTTTTGTACTATTAGCTATATTTTATATTATTAAAATCGAAAATAAATAAAACAAGCCACAGATATTCATAAAAGTAGAATAATTAAAAAAAAAGTTTAAAAATGTGCAAAAAAATTAAAGAGCAAATCACTGACTCATTGTTTTGTGTATTAATATAATACTCTAGTAACTGATAAACTTTTATTAAAAAACAACTTCTCAACTAAATTACATTGTATAACAAAAAACTTTACCTCACTGTCAACTAGCGACATCTGGTGATCAGAAAATTATTAGCCCTCATTGATCGATTGAGGTCATATGTTTTGTCGAGACGATACTAGAATCCGATAGGTCACACTGTAGTCAAGTTATTAGTAAATTATATTTGTATTTATAAACATGACTCATATTTACAATATAATAAGTTGGTTTAATGCCAATAAATAATTAAACTGCGGTTGCCAACTCGCCTACAAGCGTGGCAACTATGGCGAAATAACCTCCCTACCCTATGAAGCAATATCTATGTTGGTCATGTTAATAATATATTTTATATTTAGATTGTAAAAGTCCGGAGTAAATTGAGAATGAAACTGATTACGCCACTTAACAGAAAGGATAAAACAACGTGGAGTAGTCTCAAACTTACTTCTCAAATGTGAACAGCATAGCCAATACAATTTTCACAATACTAAGAGTAAACACAATAACCATCAAAGACGCCCGAAACAAAACAACGATTTTGCGTATCTATTCCTCCCGGGTGGCAATCGATCCCGAAACTCAATTATTGGAATGCGTCCCTCGGCAAGTTGGACGGTCGCGACCCGCAAGTTGGTGTTTGCGTTTATCTCATCATTGTGCGGTCGGCGGAAGATTCTCGGCAGTTTCGGGGTTGAGGATAATGGAGTCGAGAGGTTAGACGTTAGAGAAAATTACCTTTCGGTTTATAACACCTAGAGTCAGTTTACACGGGATTGAAACTTGAAGGCACTTCTATTTTTTGGCGACTTCAAAAACAAGAAGGTTAATAATTCATCTACTTTTTTTTGAAAAGATATGTCTTTCCGTTCTTTCTTTGTTAATTATGAACCGCTTTTGATGTTTTTCTTTAAAATAGGTTTTACTTCAGGGGATACTAAACTTGGAGAAAAAAAAATACACCCATAGGTGGCAACCTATATATAAGGCATTATAGGGGGGATTTTGGCCATAGTTGCCATGCAAACGGATGCAACCACAGTTTTTTTTCAGTCGTTATTAGGAAGACGCTGCTGCCCATCTCCTGATTTGCGTCCCTCTGTACGCCTCTTACAGCTCTTACGACACCCATGGCATGATATGGAGTAGTTGGTATATTTACACCGTCATTACACGGGTAAATAAAAAATACATTCGTATATCGGTTCAAAATTGAACCTTTGATTTAAAGGGATTATTAAGGGGACGAAAGGTTCTCCAGTAGCAGCCTCGTAGCCTGGCAAGATTTGCAGGACGACCTCCTAGATGCAGGTGACTCAGGACCATGCTTTGTGGCATTCCTTGGGGGAGGCCTATGTTCAGCACTAGACTTGACTAAATTAGACTAAACTAGATTTCTTAATCTACGAAAGGGAGGTAGTAATGATTATGATGATAATTTAAGGGGATAATTTTTTTTATTTAAGATAATCATTAATAATCATTATCATCATCTTTACAGCCCCTGCATTTCATTAACTACAGTTAAAAAACCGTTGAGGTAAAAATTCTAACAAATGTTTTAGATTTGTTACTATCACCATTTGTACAAAATAATTATGAAAAAATCTGGAATAAAAAACAGTAATAATAAGTTTTTAGCCACGATTTGGTTTAATATTTTAAAAACAAATTTTTATTCAACTTCATAAGACATTTTACTATGTCTCCTCCCCTATTCCACCCCACTCCACCTTTACGAGCATCTGAAATAGTAACTTCATCAATTCGACGTCAGCGGAAACTGTCTTGTCTCTATAACGTTGGACCTTGCCCTCCCTGGGGGCTCATTTCGGTCCCCGTCCGATTTTTATGGGAAAACTATTTCGCTCGACCCGACCGCAAGAAATGGACTGAGGTTATTTCGTGTCGTTTATTTTTTTAGTTTATAGTTCAGTGTGTATAGGGTGAGGCGGCTGATGTAGAAATAGAATTAGAAACACGGTTCGCGTCAGAAAAAAAGGATGCAATTGTTTTTTTCTTATTATTTTGTTCTTTGCCCTGTATAAAAAGGTTATGAGGCTCTAGCTATCTGTATCAATGTTTGAAAATTGTATAGTTACTTTACAAACACTGGGTTTTTAACATAGTGGAATCACGCTTCAGGTATATTAGTAAAAGTAGCGCGACTCGGTCGGCTCGACCGGGCTACGGCCGCGCTCTCACAATACCAGCGTAAAGTAACAGCTTATTAACTTCCTTCTGCGTAGCATTGAAAGGAAGTTATGGTTTTAGCTGGCAGTCTGTTAGTCTGTATGCCGACACGATAACTTCCGTTCCACTGGACCGATTGACTTTAAATTTGGTATGTGGATACCTTGAGGTAGTAGCTCGATCGAGTTTGAATTTGGGTCCTGTAGGTCAAAGGGCACCAGAGATATGGGATTCACGCAGAAAGAAGTTGTTTTTCTTGAATTTACATTCAACTCGTTGTTGTTGTATTTCGTATGGTGAATGTAGAGAATCGGAAACCCATTTCCCTGGTAATGAGGCATTCTATCTTAGAATAAAACAAACCACAGATATTCATAAAAATAGAAAAATTAAAAAGAAGTTAAATATGTGCAAATATTTAAAAAGTAAACCACTGATGCATTGTTTTGTGTATTAATATAATACTCTAGAAACTGATAAACTTTATTAAAAACCAATTTCTCAATTAAATTACATTGTGTAACAAAAAACTTTACATCAGTGTCAACTAGCGACATCTGGTGAGCAGAAAATTATTAGCCCGCATTAGTGGAGGGTGATCTATGCTTTGCTTACAGGTACTAGACTGCCACTCGTGAACTTTTCTTCCATATCAGTTGTCGGTGCTTCGAGCTATACAACCGGCCCACCGACAAGATACATATTTACCGTAACAGCCTATGTCCACTGCTGATTTTTAAAGATATTTGTCATAATTGTAATGTTACTGTTGATTTGAAAAATTTCACCTCTCAGTGGGTCATGTGCTCCTGGTAGATTATCTTCTATACATCCATCCATTACAGCCTACTCCACTGCTAAACATAGGCCTCCCCCATATATTGCCTCATAGGGGGGATATTTGCAATAGTTGTAATGTTACTGTTGATTTAATAATTTCACCTCTCAGTGGGTCATGTGCTCCTGGTAGATTATCTTCTATACATACATCCATTACAGTCTTCCACTGCTGAACATAGGCCTCCCCCATAGATTGCCTCATAGAGGGGATATTTGTCATAGTTGTAATGTTACTGTTGATTTGAAAATTTCACCTCTCAGTGGGTCATATGCTCCTGGTAGATTATCTTCTATACATACATCCATTACCGCCTAGTCCACTGCTGAATATAGGCCTCCCCCATAGATTGTATCATAGGGGGAATATTTGCCATAGTTGCCTCACATGGCAAGCGGATTGGCAATTACAGTTTTTATTTTCGTCGTTAAGAAGGCGCTGCTGCCCATCTCCTGATTTGATACCCTCCATCGCCTCTTACGACACCCGCGGAAGATATGTGGTAGTGGATATTCTTACACCGCCGATACATATTTATTACACGATTAATATTTTCCTTATATGTTCAGCATGCGACTGCCATCCGGTGGGAGCGAGCGGCAAGACCTGCAATCAGACGAGTGGACAGTGCCCGTGCAAGGACGGAGTGACGGGCACCACCTGCAACCGCTGCGCCAAGGGCTACCAGCAGTCCAGAAGCCACATCGCACCCTGTATACGTGAGTTGGGAATATTGGCACATTATGATTTCTTATGTTTACGCGAACACTACACATTTAATGAAACTAGTTTTATGGATTAAACGCGTGTTAATAATTTATTTAAAGTAATTAAAAAATTATATTTATTTATTTATCTTTGGGGTAACAAATCAATATACTATAATAATTATAAAATAAACATAAAAACCTGTGTAACTAATTATATATCCAGCACCAACACCTACGAAATACAAATAGGTACTGTATTATTGATGCCGCTACTTTAATGTCTTTGTATGAAAAAAAACCTAATGCACGTACTGTACGTGGTATCACAATCTTATAATATAACTAACTATTCCCGCGACTTCGCTCGAGTGGAATTTATTACTATTGGATTTCATGGATATTTTAAATTGTTTGCGCGGAAACCTTTTTTTTTTCTATAATTAAAAATTAAAAATTTTGTACAACCGACTTTAATATAAATTATTAAGAATAACTCAAAAACTATTGGGACCACATGTGAAGCACCAGCTTTCAAATAAAAAAAAACATCGAAATCGGTTCACCCAGTTAAAAGTTATGAGGTAACACACAGTCGAATTGAGTTGGTACCGTCTCCTTTTTGAAATCGGTAGAAAATAAAAGTAGCTTTAGTTACTTCTTATAACATCGACTATCTGCCAGTGAAAATCCCCTTAAAATCGTTCCAGTGGTTTCGAAGATTAGCCGTAACAAACAGACAGACGGACAAACAGACAAAAATTTTAAAAAATTGTGTTTTTGTTATAAGCACCGTATATATTTTCATATGCATTTAGTAAAAAGCTGTTATTTTGACAGTACAAACAGACACTTCAATTTTATTTATTTGTATAGATGTATAGATATAGACTGCTTGAGTTAAATAATTTTAAACTGAAGGTAGTCGTGCTTAATTATGACATTTAGACGTCAAACATCTCAGCCCCCGTGAGCTTGGGTGTTGTAAGTAAAAACGTTAGGAATAAAAAATAAGTTAATAAATTGCGATAAAATCTTTAAAACTAATTTCATTCATTGGCTCATTGTCATCTTTGCTATGCAGTACTTTGAAATAGGAGTAAAGTAAAGGAGCTCCCTGTTTCAGAAACCTTCCAACAATGAGAAGACCTACGTCTAATGTGAAACATATTTAGACTGTTACTATTTTGTGACTATACTTACTTTATGTCAAGGTGGAAAATATCAACGATTTAGTTATTGTATGAATTTAAGCAATGTCACCTTAATGAAAAGAAAATAGGTGTGTTTCTACAAACATTTCTAGAACAAAGTATTTGTCTACTTATGACGGGATTTGATTTTCGGGTGTACATTTTACATACAAGTGATTGCGAAATTTCAATATTTACTGATCGTTTGACTCTGAAAGATTACGTTATTTGATACACAAACATGATAAAGTAAATATTATACTTTTGTGCACCATGTTTATTTGAAAGTTCTTTAACAGAATTGCAATGGAATAATACCTTTTACACGTGGTAGAACCAAGCTGCAGCTATATTAGTAGTATAGTTGTAGCACGAATGGTTTGGCTCGACCGGAAAAGGACCACGCTCTCACAGAATACCAGCTTAAAATAGCAGCTTAACGCTGCCATGTTTCGTATGGTGAATGTATAGAACTGGAGACCCTTTTTACTGGAAATGAGGCATTCCATCTACTAAGATGACTACCTCGTGAGGTACTAGGACTATCTCACGGGTGACAACGCATCTACATTTTGATTTGTAATCGAGGACAGATGTAGATGTCTATGGGCGACATCAAATGGACTGTGTGCTCGTTTGTCACCCTTATCCTATAAAAAATAATATTCATACAGCTGTAACTTTTAATTTGTTTATGTTGTGTTTTATCATATGAATATTTGTTTATGATTGAAATTAATTCCCTAAATTAAATATCTCCTTTACTTAAAATTATAAGACTGTAGTGAAACTGGGCATAAGTAAATTACAATTTTGGACATGAATTTGGACTGGTGAAGATTCACAACAGCTCAAGGCTGGCTTTAATTTCATAGTACAGAAATGGATTATTTGATATTGATTTTATAGATTAGATGTGACAAACGAACACACAATCCACCTTATGGTAAGTGGATACTTTGGCCCACAGACATCTACATCGTCACCCCTGAGGACAAAGATAGAATGCCTTGTATCCAGAAAATAGGGTCTCCGGTTCTCTACACTCATACGAAACACAGCAGCATTAAGCTATTATTCTGTGAGAACGTGGTCCTTCCTCGGTCGAGCCGACCCACTCGTGCTGCAACCTTATTATAGGTGCAGCAAGGCTGTACTACGTATAATCCTTTTTTACTTATTATAAGTAATTAAGCACTTGCTAATAGTAAATAAAACCTCAATCGCACCTTCAGGTAACTGGTAATGTAAAGATTGTGAGTGAATAATAATTCGCACTATCTTAGCATAACAAAAACCTTTTCGCTCTTGCCTCGAAAACACCCAAACTGTAATCGGAAGACGCATTTATTCCGAATGCGGGGAATTTTGATAACAAAGGGATACCCGCCAACCCTCTAGCATAGTTGTTCGACGGTGTAAAAGGGAGCTTAGGAATTTGTTTGTTTGCAGCATTTATTTTTTATTATCTATCAATTAACAATGTTTTTTAGAGACTAAAGGTTACAAACAAGCACACTATCCACCTGATAGTAAGTGGATGCAGTGGCCTATAGAAATCTACATTTAAAAATGCAGATGCGTTGTCGCCCCTGAGATGTAAAATGGATAACCCCGTTTCCAGTAAAATGGGGTCTCCGGTTCTCTACATTCACCATACGAAACACAGCAGCATTAAGCTGCTATTTTACGCTGGTATTCCGGTCCCCCGATCCATTCGTGCTACAATCATAATATAGTTGCAGTATTGCTTTACGACGTATATGCATTTATATGTAATACTTCTTAATATTTAATGCATAAGCAGTCTTAGACTTTACGTTTATATATTTCTTTGTTTAAAGTGTATGTATGAAATGAATAGTTCTTTCTTTCTTTTTTCAAGGATGTCTAACCAATATATTTTTCTCTTTGTTTAGGCATTCCGCGCGTAGTGACCGCCGTCCAGGCGATGGAAGCGGTGGATGCGGAGCCGGGCCGCGGTAAGTAGTAAGTGGACCTTCATTGCACTCTCGCCTCATCACACCGCATGCCGGCGGGCACTGATTCACGAACAGCGCCATTTTGTTTAAAATTTTAACAAATGGCACTGAAATCCTTCCAGTAATAATTGAAAAACGAGCCTTCAAAATTCCAGACGATTTAATATTTTTTTACTAGATCTTATCTTACCTGGTAAGGTGAGAATTGCTCGCTACGTGAATAGATTTCCTTATTATTAATTAAGACAAAAATTAATTTTAATTATATAACAAAGAACATAGATATAGTCTATATTAAACTATAAATCAATCATTCAAATAAAACTAAATATTTTTGTTGATTTTACATTTTGATCGGAATAAATTAAGGGAAACAAGTAAGGTTTCAGTTTTTCTCGAAATAAATATATTAATGAATATTATTACAAGGTTCATGTTAATGTTATAGTTATAACTACCGGAGGTCACAAACTTAAGTTTATCGAACTAATTGGCGATGTATCGAAGATGGGCCAAGTTATGAGTAACCTTAACTAACAAGCATAATATATGAAAGAAGCGAGAAAGTTGTGTCAGTATGTGACAATGTATATAGTCTCTGCCTACCCCACTTAGTGATAGGCGTGAGAGATTATGATTATACTATAAGTATGACTATGGAAAATATATTAAAATAACGATGTCAATATTGAACTTTTCTCTAATTAACTAACTACTAGAGTCAATTTTAAACGGCTGGAGTCATATAAAATTTGAATAATGACAATATGAAATGAGAGTTTCGAGTTAAAACAGAAATTTCACATGATTTGTTAATACTCTGATCACTTTCACCTATTTCTTTTCCAGTTAACTAGATTAAATGTACTAACGTGAACGAGTGCTCGCCATTGAAGTGATTATACCTTGTACAATTTAAAAACTACATTTATCATTCCTACTTCTCCCAATAGCACTAAAAAGCCTTTTACTAAATTAGACGTAACCAACACTTCGCAATGACTAACGTAGTATTATATTCTTCGTAACATTAGTAGTGACATTTATGCATTTTGATACATGTGTACATTTAATTAATAGAATCAGGCGTTACTTTGCGGAAATCCATTATATAAAAGATTTTACAAAAATTTACTTCGCAAATATCCGCGTTATAAAATAAAATGATGTGTCTTAACTAGTATGAAGAAGCACCTCCCGCCCTCCCTCAATTGCGTGCACTAACCCCGTCACCACTAATCCCAGCACCGCTACTCCCAACACCACTACACTAGGCAAGACACACCACTGACGATAATACGACACGTGTTTCGCCTCTACACGAGGCATCCTCAGGTGATATAGACTCTACGGTGGCTAACCGCTAAGTGAGCGGCGAGCCAAAACAAGTGCCTTTTATACAAACCGATGACGCAACCGCTCTCTACCTAAGAAGCGAGCGACTGCGTCATGCGATAAAACATGCGACCAATCACCGCTGGACTTACGCAGCCGTTTGTAAAATTAAAAACTAACCGCCGCGCAACGCCCACATTATTAGAGAGCAGGCTTGAAGATATTTAAGAGAGGTGAGTTAGTAACATTTGTTTGTTCATTCAGCAATGCAACGGTATTATTATTACTTTTTAATATCTCTAACTGTTCCAGCACACACAGCCGCAGCCCTTTATTACACGTATGTAAGACTTTAAAGGAGTGGTCGTTGGCTAGGTTGTGTCCAGTGTCCAAAAGATGTTTGGCAAAATGGGATTTATCGGGATTGCAATTCCTGTACGCGGCTAAATGCTCTTTATAAAGTGTCTCGAAATTGCGACCAGTCTGACCCACGTAAACGGCGTGGCATTCGTCACAAACAAGTTTGTAAACACCTGACTTTTGACGAATATCCAACTTATCTTTACTATTACAGATATTTCTAAGAGAATTGTTTGTTTTAAACGCCACATAAACGCCGTTTTGTCGAAGAGTATTAGCTACTTTTTCAGATATGGGGCCTAAGTAGGTCAAACTGCTCACATATCGATGAACACTTTGAGGTTGAACCGCGTACAAAGAGTTGCGAATAACATGCTTTTGTTTCTTTTTAATTAAATTGTTAATGAGATTTTTTGAAAAACCGTTAGAGACCGCTATTTGATAAATTATATTAAGTTCTTTTAAATAATTTTCTTTACTTAATGGGACAGTGAACAACCGGTTAATGTAACAATAAAAAGCGGCTACTTTATGTTGCCATGGATGACCCCCCGCGTCATCATGTCAGCATGTTATTCGCAACTCTTTGTACGCGGTTCAACCTCAAAGTGTTCATCGATATGTGAGCAGTTTGACCTACTTAGGCCCCATATCTGAAAAAGTAGCTAATACTCTTCGACAAAACGGCGTTTATGTGGCGTTTAAAACAAACAATTCTCTTAGAAATATCTGTAATAGTAAAGATAAGTTGGATATTCGTCAAAAGTCAGGTGTTTAAAAACTTGTTTGTGACGAATGCCACGCCGTTTACGTGGGTCAGACTGGTCGCAATTTCGAGACACGTTATAAAGAGCATTTAGCCGCGTACAGGAATTGCAATCCCGATAAATCCCATTTTGCCAAACATCTTTTGGACACTGGACACAACCTAGCCAACGACCACTCCTTTAAAGTCTTACATACGTGTAATAAAGGGCTGCGGCTGTGTGTGCTGGAACAGTTAGAGATATTAAAAAGTAATAATAATACCGTTGCATTGCTGAATGAACAAACAAATGTTACTAACTCACCTCTCTTAAATATCTTCAAGCCTGCTCTCTAATAATGTGGGCGTTGCGCGGCGGTTAGTTTTTAATTTTACAAACGGCTGCGTAAGTCCAGCGGTGATTGGTCGCATGTTTTATCGCATGACGCAGTCGCTCGCTTCTTAGGTAGAGAGCGGTTGCGTCATCGGTTTGTATAAAAGGCACTTGTTTTGGCTCGCCGCTCACTTAGCGGTTAGCCACCGTAGAGTCTATATCACCTGAGGATGCCTCGTGTAGAGGCGAAACACGTGTCGTATTATCGTCAGTTGTGTGTCTTGCCTAGTGTAGTGGTGTTGGGAGTAGCGGTGCTGGGATTAGTGGTGACGGGGTTAGTGCACGCAATTGAGGGAGGGCGGGAGGTGCTTCTTCATACTAGGTAAGACACATCATTTTATTTTATAACGCGGATATTTGCGAAGTAAATTTTTGTAAAATCTTTTATGTGTACATTATCTAATGATCAAAATTCAATATTACAATTTTACTGATTGGTAGAATTCCGTTGGTCTTACAGAGACCGTTCGAGGTACAACTCTATCTATCATCACAAGCACATCCTATAATGCTCCATTTTAAGGGTATTTTATATTAGTCCATTTTAGTTGCCTCTTACGATACCCACAGGATGAGACAGCGTGTTGGATTCTCTTGCACTGTCACTACACGGCAAAATATTTTTGTAATTTTAAGCAAGTTGCAATTTCGAATTTTATAATGTTGGCTAATAATTCAAATCTAGGCATTTGACTATAATAGATTATAATATATCCTACAAATTTGTAATCTAACATCAATGAAGGCATCCACGACTTCTTCTGCCACCAGGGCGGCGCAACTAGAGAATGAGGTATAATATTTGATAGATTTCATTGCGGGGAAATTAATTTGATAGGAAAATGTAAAGGTTATAGTTTCTTTCTGTATTATTAGCTATATTCTATATTAATAATATTAAATATAAATAAACCAAAACACAGATATTCATAAAAGTAAAAATTTTAAAAAAATGTGCAAAAAATTAAAGAGCAAATACCCATGGACGCATTGTTTTGTGTATTAATATAATACTCTAGAAACTGATAAACTTTTATCAAAAACCAACTTCTCAATTAAATTACATTGTGTAACAAAAATCTTAACCGCAGTATCAACTAGCGACATCTGGTGAGCAGAAAATTATTAGCCCTCATTCGGATGATAACAAAGTGTAATATTTTTAACATATAATCCATTGAGAACATTGTGTTTCTTCAAGAAAACAAACCTTTTGCTGTAAACTGTCATAAACATAAAAGCCACTAATTTTTATTATCCAATCTTAGATGTTTCACAGCAACATTATTTCCCCTTGGAACAGAAGGTACTATCACTTCATTAGAAATTTATTTGCACTTTATACTTGTTTAATCAATGTTTAGATTAATAAAGGAGAATTTGTTTTCAGGCTTCTTTATAAATTTCACCACCATACCGAAATTCATTTAACTTTTGTTTTTATTTAACATTATCAAGTATCGAATCAGGTAATTTAGTTTGTTTTGCATTTTGCATGTACCGATAGTTGAAATTCGTTATTAAAACATTGTTTAGATCGTGTTAGTAACAACTTATCCTTAGAATTCATTAATGTCTCATTCCTTTAGAAATCATGTTCAGGTTTGAACCCAGAAACTGTTATTTTAATTTCGTTTAGAAATTCAGTTTCAGTTCCTAATTTTTATGTAGCCTGTATTTTAATATTTTGTATCTGTTGATAGTTATTTTTTTTTATTTACCGCCAAATGGTACATACGAACTGATATGAGGTTTCCGCAACAGCAGCGGAGCAGTGCGGCCGGTGCCGCGCCGGCGCTCGCACTCTAAATCTCAACAAGTACTGCAGCCGAGACTACGGTAAGTGGTCTAAAAGATACCTTAAATATTGTAAGCTACTCTACTTTGAAGTTCTAGTAATAGGAGGAATTCTATCATGAAGGTTTTTTACACTTACACACGGACAAATATATTCTTACCGTCATGCCGCTTGTAGAGTACAGGCATTCAGAAATGTATCTATATGGCTTGAAGAACATTACCTTTAAAATAACCCTTTGATCTCCCTCCTAATGCTAAAATCTAGTTTTAGAGGAGCCACCTCAAACCAAAACACAGTATGTTATGACTAAATGGGCTAGAGAAATATAGATTTACTCAGTAGACCTTTTTCAGCCACGTGCCGCAGTGTCTTGAATTACCATATAAGTTTGCTAACTCTGCACACAGTTAAATACGAGGGTGACACTGAAAGTTCTTAGAAAATCAAAAATAACAAACTAGAAAGTTATTATTTTTATTATATTTTTTCAAAATTGTGTCCATTTACATCAATACATCCGCTGCATCCGATGGAACCACTGAGAAAAGCACTTTGCCCAACTCGTCATCAGGGGTTTCTTCGACGACATTTTGAAACGCAGCCAGTTTGATAGTTGTGGAATATTATTACTGCTTCCTCGGCGTGCATAAAACGTTTTCCTCGAAGTTTTTTTTTCATTTTTGGAAATAAATTAAAATCGCAAGGTGCGAGGTCGGGGTTATAAGGCAGGTAACCCAGTAATTCCACGTCTGACGTCGCCAAATAGTTGATTGTTAGCTTGGCGGTATGTGAATAAGCGTTGTCGTGGTGAAGAAGGATCCTACCGCGAGGTCGTTTTCCCGAACTTTTTCCAAGACAAGTGGCAAACAATTGTTAGTGTACCACTCTGCAGTAACTGTTTTTTGATCCTCTAAAACAGTTGTTGCGTAATGACCTGTCTTTTCGAAGAACGAGGCCACCGTCTTTTTCCCCACACTTCAACCTCTCTTCACTTTAGTCGGTAACTTACCGGAAGGAAACATCCAGACGGCAGACTGTCTCTTAGTTTCAGGATCATAACCATAAATCCAGCTTCCGTTTCCCGTAAGTATGTCAAACACAGCATTTGAGTTACCTCCATTAAATCTTTGGACCATTACCCGACACCAATCAACACGACGGAGGTTTTGGGCCTCTGTCAAATTATGAGGTATTCACCGGGCACAAAGCTTCCTGACCGCTAAATGTTCATGGAGGATTTTGTGCACTTGACTCATACCCATGCCTAAGCTTGTCCGAATCTGCTGATAAGTTACTCTTTTGTCAGTCTCTATCATACGCCGCACAACACTGATGTTATCTTCAGTCGTCGCCGTAGAAGGCCGTCGCTCACGCAGATCATCGGTGAGATTAGTGCAACCATGTTTAAACTCATTAAACCAGTTGTAAATAGTGGCACAAGATGGGGCTTCATCTTAAAAGGCCAATCGAATTAAATCATAGCTTACTTGTTACGTCGAAAATCATAAAAAACTATTGTACGAAAATGTTCTCGCGTTAAATTCATGCTGACGTGACACATACAATTTTCACTTTGCCGTCAAATCGTAAACAAATGACAAATTAATAAAATACATACACAATAGTATTGGCAAAGAATTCCATTTTCAAAATTTGATCTTATTTTTTATTATATCCTTTACAAGTGGCCAGCTCTAAAAACTTTCATTGTCACTCGTAATAATACGCCAGAATAAATATATTTACGTAATCCAAACGCTTGTTTTGTACGAGAATAGAATCAGTATCGCCATAGTCAAACGCTCAGTCACTACGAAGCCGTCATTATTTACGCTGAATCAAAAATCAATTGATCACTCGATGTATTCTATATGGTACACCAATACATATTGAAACAATAAAATAATATATCATGAAGATAGAAAGGGCGATCTGATCTTTCTGAAAGTGATTTCTTCCAGATAACTATGTTTACGCCAAGAATTTTTTTTATTGTCAGTTCTTGAAGAGATCACTAAATAGAATAAAGATGTCATGAGAATCATAAAACATGCAGAACAAGATCAATATTTTGTGACATATAGAGCAGCACGTTGAGAGTAGTGATGCCTAATCAGGATTTCAACTCAGTATTTCCTGCCGCATATCAATAGTATTACATTACATGACTCTAATTTTGACATTGTGAAGTTTGAGTTCAAACTCACGATTATCTCCAATGAGACTAACTCCAATCCAATCTATAAAGGATAGACTTTTTTCATTCATTCATTCATTCATTACACCCTGTCTACACTACTAAGGGTAGGCCTCCTCATAGATAGTTTTAGACCTATCCTGTTTCAATTTCTCTCTGCCACCTGTTACAAAATCTACGGGACGATAAGGGGTAGGATATTCTTACACTTATTGTCCCGTAGATTTATTTGTAAAGTTTTTAAATTATTTATTTTGATCCGATCTACGTAGAATAAGCTTACTGTGTCTTGAATTATTATATTCTGCGTAGATCGGACCAAAATTAATAATTAAAAAGCTAGCATTCCTGGTTAACTTTTATATGGAGACGTCAAACATCTCAGCCCCTGAATATGGTGAAACATTGGGAATAAAAGAATAAGTAAAATTAATCGCGACAAAATCCGTATAAATAGTTTCATTCATTGATGGCGTTTGCGTAAATATAGGAAATCATTTACTTATTTTAGTTGTTCTTTCTGTTTTTTTATTATGGACTAATGGGACTGTACTTTTGCCAGTATCAAGTAATTCACAATGTGTTGATATTTCACACTGCGAAGTTTTTGTGGGATATTGACGACAGCTTGTACCAGCAGACAGTTGCGCCTAAGCAGACACATTATCTTGAGGTTCACATCACATTTTATAACGCATTATCATCCTATGAGCATACAGTCAACTTGATGAACATACAGTTAAGTGGATAGTACCATAGACATCTACATTTAGCGTCAGTTAAGAATCAAAATGCAGATGCAATGTCAACTCTGATAGCTGAAATGGAATGCCTCGTTTCCAATAAAATTAATTACTTTTGTTTGTTTTTGTTGTTTATTTTCTAATGCATCCTCCTCTCCTCTCGCCCCCCCCCGTCCCTGCAGTCATAATGGGGCGGGTGGTAGGTCGCGAGGCGGGCCCGGCGGGCAGCGCGTGGGCGCGGCTGGCGCTGAGCGTGCAGGCGGTGTACAAGCGCGCGCCGCGCAGTCGCCTCCGACGCGGCGCCGCCGCCCTCTACGTGCGCGCCGCCGACCTCGCCTGCAAGTGCCCCAAAATCAAGATTAACAAGTAAATCGCCTCTTTATTACTATCCACTACACTAAACACTATACACTATGTGGCGAGTCAATTAGTAGCTAGAACGGACCATAAGATCACGCCACCACAATGCGTTCCCATTGGTCACGGCACTAGCAGAGTTCAATGGCCGTCTGCTTACATATTGTTCACATCGATAGCGGCATGGACGGAGTTCAATGGCCGCCTGCGCAGGTATTGTGTTCTTTGTACGTCCAATCGGAGCATAATTCAGAAACGCATGCGCCTTAATGAGCGGGCGTTGCTAATCACCCAATGTATGACGTAAAGATGGCGTGATCTTAAGGTCCGTTGTAGCTACTAATTGACTCGCCACAACTACACTACACTGCACTACACTATACAAAACTACAATACACACTACACTACACTACACTATACTATATAATATATATTTAAAATAAGTACTTTTACTAACAATTCTATGCATGTAATTATCTATAGATACATACATCTATACATACATGTAAATAAAATTGAAATGTATGTCTGTAGTATTGAAATAAGTGGGTTCTATTATGCTCAGGGGATTATTTGAACAATATTAAGACATATTAAAATGGTTTGTCTGTCTGTATGTCAGTCTGTCTGTGCTAATATTCGGAATAGTGAAACTGATTGTGATGAAACTTTACGAAAAGATACAAAGCAATGCGAAGAGGGATGTAAACTAACTTTATCAAAAGAACTTGAAGATTTATATAAAAACGATAAATTTTTAAAATAACGTCACATTGATAGATCCTATTCAGTAGAAGCCGAGATAGGTCGCTATTCCGAAGTAAACAAAATTTTATTTAATTTTAATTTTATCCTTCTAATTTCTACTTGATAGGGAAAAAAGGTTCTCGAGTGGCAGCTCCATACCGATGAGCAAAGTGTAGCGGCGCCTATTAGATGTGGTGACGACCTGGTAAGAGATGCAGGAAGTCGATGGATGCAGATGGCTTAGGTCCCTTCTTTGTGGCATTCCTCGGGGAATGGGAGGCCTCCCATGTTCAGCGGTGGACTTGTGATGGGCTGTAATGACGATGATGATGAATTCCTACTTTCCCACTGGTTCCTACTAATATGAAAATTGTGAAAGTTTATATGGATGTTTATATGTTTGTTACTAACTACGCAAAAATTACTGAACGGATTTTGATGAAACTTGTCAATATTATAGATCACAAACTAAAATAGCACAGAGGCTATATTATTGTCATAATATTGAATCGTAGCTGCGGCTATTAGTGATCGTGTAACTCCTTAACGGCCGATTGAGATAATATTCTGCTATCCTAATATATGATAGGTGGCTATCGTTTTACTAACAAGTCTCTAGAAACAACATTTGTAACAGACAGACAGACAGACACTGACATATTAATTCATAAAACAACTAAAAATGTTGTTGTTGCTTTATTGTAAATATTTTTGTAGATATATGTAAAATTACCGTCATCATAAAAATATCTGAAAATGCACCTCACGCTTTTTTTACAATAAAATGGATTTTTTATGTTAATCACCATTAACTTATTTTAAAACTATTGAAAATATTTTCTACTTTTTAGTTCTGTTATCTACAAAAGCGCTTTTTTTTTAGTTTTTTAAACTTTTATTTATTTATTGCTAACATTTTTTTTTAATGAAACGTTACCCCCACACTAGGATTTTCTCCTGTGTCGTAGAGGCAGTTTACAAACATAAATTGCACAAGGACAAACATCCAGACCCGGAACAATTATTTGTAGGCCATACAAATACTTGTTCCGTGCGGGATTCGAACCCACGGCCCCCAGCGCAACAACTGATTGCTAAGCCACTGCGTCACGGAGCCGTCAATCATGGTACAGACATCCAAAAATCTCACAAGTTTTCGAGGTACCCTCTTAATGCAGGTCTTATTTTCACAGGTCTTACCTAATCCTAGGAGTGGAAAAAGAGGGAGCGTCATCTGGTATGCCAGGTTTAATGGTTGGAGAGAGAACATTACTACTGGAATGGCGTGATGATTGGCACAGGCGCATACGTCGCTTGCAACGGCGTGCTATCAACTGTCATTAGCTGGACGCCATCTTGGAAAAATAATGAAGCCGTGAGAACAGTCTATTAAAAAAAAATAACACCGAATATCCTAATACATATAAACAAAGCATATTATATTCCGTCTACTTTCCGTGCAAAATGTGAATTGATAAGTAGTTTCGAATGTTACTGCCATTGATTACGTTAAATAAAATAGATTTTTCATTAACAAATGCCGTTAAATTTAACCTAGTCGCGTGTAAGTTAGATTATATTAAATGGAAAATTTAGTTGATAAAGTAAGTCACGATATAAAAAAATATCTTCTACATTTTAAGCTCCTCGGTGCAACGATTTAAAAAATGGTAAACGCAAAAGTAGCAGTTCTCAGAAATGGCGGGAAATAGATGACAGCCCTCTCGATGATAAATATGAATATCGATATAAATTAAGATTTTTGTTCATTTTTTGAATATAATTCTTTGTTATTTACCAAAAATTACGACACTTGTGACTTAAGCAACTACTCCTTCCTAGGATTTTGTTAGGGTCTATAATATGTACAGTCGTCAACATAGTAATGAAATGTTTTTTAACTCTGTTAATAATTTCAAAAATAACAATAATTTAAATTTTGTGTCTATGTTGACGAAGATATTTTATTATTTATTTACCTTTCAACATAAAATTTAGAATAATTTAAGTTTCGTTCCATTTGCCGCATTTTGTATGATTGTTAGTTTATATTTAAAAATACATGTTAATAATGTTTTAAGTACAATGGGCTACATAAGTTAAGTATTTGCCAAAAAACAAAAAATGTAAATTTTATTTATTTTTTGTTATCAACAATATGTAACAATCTACTTCACTCTTTAAGGGCACACCAATCAATAGACCGCCGATCGAAGCCATTAATCGATATCGATCGATGTCGATCGATTGGTGTGATAGCTTTGGCTGGTCGACGGATACTGGTCGATAAAACGTTGTTCAATCATCGATCGACGTCGATCGACAATTAATGGAAGTGATTGCGGGCTCATCGTCAGTAACTTTCAAAATGTATACACAAGAGGACAATAGGGAGCGTTTGGTGGAGTGGGGCGAGTTCTTGAATAATCTAGTAGCTCGATCGACGTCGACTAATCCATTCTACCATCGATCGATGCCATCGAACGATCGGTGTGGTAGAGACTATCGATCGACGTCGATTAAGCCATTCCACCATCGCTCGATTGTTGCACCTTCACATTCTTGCGAATCGGTATAAATATCGTTTAAATGATATCAAAAAATAATAATGATGGAACTGTAGGTCAAAGATTAGAGAGAGCTTATTTAGATTAATTTCTGGTCATGTTAATGTACAAATTTTTAAAAATTATACAATTTACGAAAGCATAAAAACCATTAATAATTAAACGGGCATTCTAATTGTTGCTCTCAGTATATAAGTGTACCTATGATTGTTACCGTCTCGTAATCTGTATCTTTTATTGACATTTTAACGGTGGTAGAGCCCTGCAGCAGTTTTTTGCTGTTGCACGTATGGGCCGGCTCGAGCCGGGTTGGTACCACGACCTCACAGAATACCGGCGTGAAGTAGAGGCTCTGCTTCTGCGTTTCGTCTGGTGAGTGCAGGTGGCCGGAGGCCCAATTCCCCCCCCCCCCCCATCAACATGGTAGCGGAATTAGACAATAGACTACCCCAGGAGGGTACCAGTACCCCTGGAGAATCCCTCGCTGAGCATCCACGACCATGTTATTCCAATCCTGAGCGTGGGTGCTCAGGCTGCCCCGCGTATTCTGGGGGGGGCAAAATTCCGCTCAAAAACAAAACTGCTCGGGGCAAGCTGAGCAACAATACCAAGGCGACCCCTGCCACGCTATCCGTGAATTTCTGCAACATCAGGGGACTTCACTCTAACCTAAACGCCGTCCACTACCATCTCGAGACGGCGAAGCCGGCCTTGCTCTTTTTGACCGAGACGCAGGTTTCCTCTCCGACTGATATTTCGTATCTCTCCTACCCGGGGTACCAATTGGAGCACTCCTTTGTGCCTCGGGCTGGAGTTTGCGTGTATGTCAGAGAGGACATCTGTTCTCGACGCCTCGGCAGTCTTGAAGGTTCGGACCTGTCCATCCTTTGGCTACGCGTAGACAGCGACGAACATCCGCGCGTCTACGGGTGCCTCTATAGGTCCCATAGCGGTAATGCCGAAACAGACCGACTCATCGACCACGTCCAAATGGCTACAGATTCCTTGCTACAACAGGTCCCATCCGCAGAGATCGTGATCCTTGGCGATTTTAACGCCCACCATGCCGAATGGCTCGGTTCACGTTTAACCGATCATGCGGGGAGATCTGTTTATGACTTTGCCTTGGCATATGGTCTGACACAACTGGTTACTTCGCCTACGCGGATTCCAGATGTGGAGGATCATACACCTTCCCTGTTGGACCTTCTGCTGACCTCTCATCCGGACGGATATCAGGTTTCCGTCGATGCCCCTCTCGGCTCTTCGGACCATTGTTTGATCCGGAGTATGGTGCCACTCACGCTCCCTTCGCGGTTGCGTTCTGCAGGTTGCCGCCGTGTTTGGCATTACAGGTCGGCGGATTGGGACGGAATGCGGTCTTTCTTTGCATCCTACCCATGGGGGCGGGTTTGCTTCTCGCCGGATGATCCCAGTGCTGTTGCTGACTCTGTCACTGATGTGGTGCTACAGGGAATGGAACTATTTATTCCATCATCTGTGGTACCCATCGGAGGCAGATCTCAGCCTTGGTTTGGTCGCTCCTGTAAGACTGCATTGTGCAGTAAGCAGGAGTGTTATCAAGCCTGGGCTGCGGCTTCGGTGACTCGGGATGTAAACACCAGCACACTTAAAAAGAAGTATAACTTCGCCTCCAGGTCCTTCAAAAGAGTTATTGCCAAGGCAAAGTTAGAGCACATAGGCAGAATTGGCGAGAAACTAGTTCGCCTTCCTTCGGGAACCCGTGCATTCTGGTCTCTCGTCAAGGCTGTCCATGGGAATTTCTGTAAGCCATCACTACCATCTCTGCACAGGGAGGACGACTCACTGGCCCAAGACGCAAAAGACAAAGCCGACCTTTTAGGCTCCCTTTTTGCGTCCAACTCGACTCTTGATGACGGGGGGAAAATACCGCCGACCATCCCGCGGTGTGAGTGCTCCATGCCGGATGTGCTATTCTCACAGCGCTCAGTTCGCAAAGCACTTCTCTCCCTGGACATCCAGAAGTCGAGTGGGCCTGACGGAATCCCCCCAATTGTGCTGAGGACGTGTGCTCCGGAGTTGGCACCGGTTCTAACGCGTCTTTTCCGGTACTCCTACTCCCAAGGCGTAGTCCCGAATTCATGGAAGATAGCTTTTGTCCACCCGATCCCTAAAAAAGGCGACCGCTCAGACCCGTCCAACTATAGGCCTATCGCGATCACCTCCTTGTTCTCCAAAATAATGGAATCCATTATTAACTGCCAGCTCATCCGGTATCTTGAGGATCACCAGCTGATTAGTGACCGCCAATACGGTTTTCGTCGGGGTCGATCAGCTGGTGATCTTCTGGTCTACCTGACCCATAGATGGGCGGAGGCAGTAGAGTCCAAGGGGGAGGCGTTGGCCGTTAGTCTGGACATTGCGAAGGCCTTTGATCGGGTTTGGCACAAAGCGCTTCTTTCGAAGCTGCCTTCCTATGGGCTTCCCGAGAAATTGTGCAATTGGATCACCAGCTTTCTTGCAGATCGGAGCATCAAGGTCGTTGTAGACGGTGCATGTTCTGACTACAAGCCTATTAACGCTAGTGTTCCACAAGGCTGTGTGCTATCACCAACGCTGTTTCTTCTGCATATCAATGATATGTTGCTAACTGGTAACATTCATTGCTATGCGGATGACAGCACTGGTGATGCTCTATACACCGGCCGGGCCAATATTTCTCGAGAAAACGTCGCCGAGTACCGGAACAAACTTGTGTCTGAAGTCGAGTCTTTGCTGGACAAAGTCTCGGATTGGGGGCGACTAAATCTAGTCCAATTTAATCCTCAGAAGACACAAGTTTGCGCGTTTACCGCTAAAAAGAACCCCTTTGTCGTATCTCCTCAGTTTCAAGGCATTCCCCTTCTTGCCTCAGCCAGTATCGGTATCCTCGGAGTCGACATATCGAGTGACGTGCAGTTTCGTGGTCACTTGGAAGAGAAGGCCAAATTGGCCTCTAAAAAGCTTGGCGTGCTCAGCAGAGCGGGACAGTATTTCATGCCGGCACACCGCCTGCAACTTTACAAGGCGCAGGTTCGGCCTCACATGGAATACTGTTCCCATCTCTGGGCAGGGGCTCCCCAGTGCCAGCTCCTTCCACTTGACCGCATCCAGCGCAGAGCGGCTCGAATCGTCGACGACCGAGCCCTTTCCGATCGGCTCGATTCATTGGCACTGCGAAGAGATGTTGCATCTCTTTGCATTTTCTTTCGCATCTACCATGGGGAGTGCTCTGAGGAATTGTTCGGATTAATCCCAGCCGCCAAATTTCATGAACGCACATCGCGGCAGAACTCCCGATACCATCCACACCATCTGGATGATTGGCGGTCCACCACTGTGCGATTTAGAAGATGTTTTCTTCCTCGCACAACTTCCTTGTGGAATAGTTTACCACCAGGGATTTTTCCGGACCGATACGACTTAGGGACCTTCAAGAAAAGAGCCTACTCCTTTTTAAAAGGCCGGCAACGCATCTGCAATTCCCCTGGTGTTGCGGTTGTTCATGGGCGGCGGTAGTCACTTACCATCAGGTGAGCCGCATGCTCGTTTGCCCCCTCTCCCATAAAAAAAAAAAAAAAAAAACACCTAAGTTTTTTTTGGCAAATACTTTGACAAAGCCAGTATTGTACATAGAGGATAGGGCAATATATTTCGAAAATTTATCACCGCGAATTATAGTCACAGTGGTTTGACGTACCTCATTTATTAAATATAATACTTGTACTATAAGTCTTACGGATTTATTTATCAATT